CTATTTATAGCCTAAGAGTCTTCAATTAGCTCAGCTGCATTTAAAAAACCCAGTTCCTAAATATAGTAAAATTCCTAAGCGTCCAGTTTGACACTATGACAAATGGTGATGGCCATGTCACCACCACCTCGTTGAGGTCTAGATCACGTCATCTCCCCAGGAAGTTCCCTGCAACCCATTATAGTCAGTTTCCCAGCGCTCTCCCCGGGCAACCACTGTTCCGATTTTTATCACTCTTGATCACTTTTGTTCATTCTATAAGTAGAACTGTACAATATGTACTGTGTCTGGTTTCTTTCATTCAGTTGGCCTTGAAGTTTTTAAAGGCAAACCTACTTGTGCGGATTAGTGGTACTCTGCACACAAACCCAGTTCCTCTAGGGGGAGGAACTGGTACCACCTAATGAAACATTGATGTTTTGATGGCTGTGGGATTCTAGGTTGGGAGCTATTTTCTTTCTGTATATTGAAAATAACATTTCATTGTTTCAGGTTTCCACTGTTGGCTGAAGTTAGCTTCTGGTCTATTATTCCTGTAAGGGTAACTTTTTTTCTTGGCTGCTTTTGAGATGTTTGCTTTTTGTAGATTATATATATATATAATTATCCTAAATGTATATGTGTATATATACATATATATGTATGTATATATGTAGATTTCTTTATTCTAATTTGCATTTGTTGGGCTTCTTGAATCCATGCTTTGGTGTCTGATTATTTGGCACTGATAAAACATCTTATTCAGATTGCTTCTGCTCCATTTTTCTCTTCCTTTGGGACTCCGAATGAATATGTATATGTATATTTTAGATCGTCTCATATCTTCTCTTAACTTTCCTTTGTATCTTCCACGTCACATTCTAGAAAGTTTCTTTAGGCTCTTCTTCCAGGTTACGAATTTTCTCTTTACCTAGATCTAGTATGATGATAAACCCTTCCGTTGAGGCTTTTCACTTTTGGTCATTGCATTTTAACTTCTAGAATTGATGATCAAAGGGACAGATTTGGAAGAAAATAATTTCCAATCTGCCGATTTTCAGACTTGGGTTTTTATCTCCTTGCAGAGAAAAGCAATAATGTTACAGTCTACTCTTAGTAGCTGGAGTCCAGTCAGTCTTTCTGTTGTCTGTTCTGGTCTCACCTCATGCTGTTTGCTCGTGTGTCTGGATTTTGTGTTCTGGACACTGTATTTGAAAAGTGATCCTCTGAGAAATGCAACTCTAAGGTAACCACTTCCAGAATATTTATCAGCTTCTGCCCAGGGAATTGGAGTCACGAACAATACCAGAGGACAAGTTTGTTGGATGAAGTTAATCCAACTCCAAAAATTGAGATCTCCTGGGCATGGTGTCATGAAGCCCAGCGGCTGTCCATGCCAGGACTGGTTTTCAGCCAGCTTACTCTCATTCCCAGAAGTTCTGGGCTCAAGTGGGAGGTCTGAGGTTTAAAATCCTGGCTCTCCTGTGGGACCATGGAAGTGACTCATCTTCGTTAAGCTTCAGTTTTCTCACCTTGAATTGAGGAATCTTTTTATCTTACATATTGAGAAACTGATGCCCAGACAGGGGAGGTAATTCGTGCCACATGCTACAATTGCTGAGCAGGAACTCTAAAATAGAACCTAGGATCTTCAAGGCTGTTTTTACCTAAGATTTTAGTTTTGTGGCTTGTGTTGAGTGGCTCTATTTTCCCAACACCTTGCTTCCCCAGGACGTAAAGGAGACTCTACAGTCCTTATCCTACTTACCATAATAAGAAGGACATACCTGAATTAGGTCAGAGGACTGGGATGCAGGGGAGGCTGGGATATGGCAAAGTAAATGAAGGTTAGAGGGCAAGACAGAGCTGGAAAAGCTTGTAGGGTACTAGGAAAAGTAACATCAAAAGTTTCCTGCCAAAAAGGGTATACCCATTTGCTAGCATTGCAAACAAACAGGAGACCAGCTTGCTCCTAGCTCATTTCCCACATTCACCCCTTCTCAGCTTCTACTGTTTGTCAGCCTTTACAGAGGGCTGTTGCCATCCACTGGGCTGGTTCTGAGACACAGCTTCTAGCTGTTCTAGAAGGTGCCCCAGAGTGTGACTTAACAGGTAGATGGTTGGAAGCTGGGGAATACTGAAACCAAGGGTACATACAAGAGGACTTGAGGAAAGGGTTGGTTTACCTAAACAAAAGACAATTTAGGGACATTATTGCCTTTGTGGGCCAACATCTTTCACAATAGACCTTTCCTAGAGAAAAGACAAATCTTGGTAGAGGCTTAACTGCCAGGTTTCCTCCTGGCCTTGCCACATTCTCACTTCCTTACTAGAAAATAACATGTTTCCAAGAAAATACACTTCTTTCAGGTACTTGCCTTGGCACCTGTTTGTTGTTCCATAAGCCTGTTCCGTAAGCAGCATCCTGATTGCTGTTTTCTTTGGTCCTAGAGTCCCCAGTTGAGAGCTGGGTAGATGGGGCAGAATCGTGGAACTTTGGTAACATCAAGGACTCCCGGGGCAAGAAGTCCAAGACAGCTCCTAATCCAGCCTGAACTGGGATTATTGCTTAAATTCTGGGACCACGCACTGGTCTAGTGGACACCACAGAGCTGTGAGATCTTTGATTTTTGTTATTAAGATGACACAGATTAAGACCCTCAATATGTGAGAGTCCGGACCTGGAAGAAAGCACCCCCACCCCCACCCCCTGCCTTCTACCCATTGCTAACTTCTTTTCCATTGAAAAAAGATCTTGTCCGCCATTGTGGCCCTTCCCATCAGCACTCCTCAGGGCCAACAGAGATGACAGGCACCACTTTTTGGAAGGCAAAGCCACAGGAATCCCTCTTGACCCTTAGCTACCCCTCTGTGCTTTCCAAGTATAGATCTCTCTTGACTTATGAGGGGTTATGTAATGATGAACCCATTACAAGTTGAAAATGCATTTAATTAACACACCTAAACTACTGAACATCACAGTGTAGCCCAACCTACCTTAAATATGCTTAGAACACTCACATTAACCTACACCGGGGCAAAGTCCTCTAACAGTCTATTTTATAATAAATTGTTGAATATCTCCTATAATTTACTGAATACTGTACTGAAGGTGAGAAGCGGAAGGGTTGTCTGGGTCCAGGATAGTTGCAAGACGGTTGTTGACCTTCGTGGTCGCAGGGCTGACTGGGAGCTGCTGCTCACGGCTGGTGTCCAGCATCACGAGAGAGAGAGGGTCGTACCGCATATCCCTGGCCCAGGAAAAACTTCAAATTCCAAATTCCAAGTACAGTTTCTACTGAATGCATATCATTTTTGCACGTTGTAAAGGAAAAAACAATCATAAGTTGAACCCTCCTACATCAGGGGGATGTCTGTATCTGGAAGGACAGTGTGACCTGCTTACCTGCAGGGTGGAGAGCCCCATTCAAATGACTTTCCTACTTTTAAAGGAGGGAGTTTGGGCTAGAGCAGAGCTTTTGCTTGTGGAACAAAGGGTGAGTCTAGGCATGAGGGTTTATGCTGGTTCTGGTTCTTTCTAAACAGCATGCATGTTCCTGATTCTGGTGAGGGAAATTCGTCGTAGCACTGACTGCTGATGCGAGGTCAGCGCCATAAGTCAAGACTTGGCACGACTTTGTCCTGTGGCTGCATCTGGTCATCATTCCATCTTCTCTAGCCAGGACCTTAGTGATGGCTCCTTTCCTCAGGGACTTGGCAACATCCCTGTGGTTGGGCCTTTCCTATTAGTTTACATATGTGCCAGTCACGGTGCTAACAGTATCGTGATGAAGGCTGAGCCAGGGAGATCCTGAACAAGGAACAGTATTGTCCTCTGGGGGAAGTTATTCGCGGCTCTGGGGCTCTCACGGGCTGACTGGACATGGTTGGAAGACGTTGGGCAGAGTGTCCAGTATTTGGATTCTTTGAGACTTTAAAAAGGTGTTTCTTAGGTCCTCCCCATCATTTTGACTTCTCTTCAGAGGAAAGTTTGGTTTGAATAGGTAGAAGTTCTCAAAGTAGAGTCTCAGGAACTTGTTAGAACTGAAAATTCTCAGCCCACACCTACAGAATGAAAGTCTGGCAATGAGGCCTCTCCATCCCTGTCCTTTAGAAGTCCTCCAGATGATTCTGGTGAAGTCTGAAGTTCAAGGACCACTTGGCATGCCCGTGGTTTGTGGGGATGATAGTCTAAGGTGGCCATCACTGGGAGCAGGTTGAAGGCGTTTATAAGGAGGTGACACAAGGAAGGAATGGAAGGACCGAGTTTTGAATATCTGGTATGGCCAACTTAGGAAAAAGAGACTGATGTTCTCGAGTAAGGGATGGCAAACTTTGTCCATACAGGGCCAGATAATGAATATTTTAGACCTTGTGAGCCTTATGGTTTGTGCCCCACCTATTCCACTCTGCCGTTGTAGTATAAAAGCAGCCAGAGGGGATACAGAAGCAAATGTGACTGTGATTCCATTAAAACTTTCTTTGCAAGAAGAGGTGGCTGGATCTGGTCCTTGGGCAGTAGTTTACTAACCTCTGGTCTAGCAGAATAATTTACTCAGGCTTTTTATTTCCTTTCTGTCTCCGTGCCTCCTTCTCTGTCTCCCTCCCTCCCCTTCCCTCTCTCTTTCTGTCTTCAAACTCCCTTTTTCTTAGAACCCAGTAAAGCAGGAATTGCTCTAATTGAGGCACAGGGTGGAGACCCCAGAGCCTACCTGTTGAGTTTCCCCTTTTTCTCAAAGTAGGCCCTAATGCTTTTTCTCAGAACACATTTTAACGTCATTTGAGTACAGTGTTCCAGTGTCTGGGCTCAGGGACACTTGAGCATTGACCCTTGAGTGAGTTGGTAATTCTTCCTGCACTGACAGGGGCCTGTACCCAAGGTGTGGAAGGAGGAGGAGGCCGTGGGAAGCCTGAGATCAGGCCTGAACCTGAGGGTCGAAGAGCGTCTCCTTTGCTGCACTGCACGATCTCTCCCTCTCTCTGCAGGTTCCAGCCAGCCTGCTGAGGTGGAGACCCAGAGCATGAGTCACCGATCAGACGCCATCCATCTGCCCTGGGGTCAGACGAGCGGTCAGGGCCTCGGAAACCAGGGCGTCCGCACCCAGCCCATGGAGATGATGCTGCACTTGAAGCAGGCCATCGAGAAGCATATGGGGCAGCTCATCACCAGGCACCAGCAGCAGGACCTGGTGCCAGAGGAGGAGAGGCCTTATCAGGCCCCCGGGGAGCAGGAAACCCTCCTGGGCAACCTAATGTACCAGTTGGTCAATCTCCTACAGTCTGGGGCCACGGGTGGCCCGGGGCTCCAACCGTCCTGCCCTTCCCTGGATGTGAAGGGTGATGCTAGAGGTGGGCAATGGGCCCAGTCATCCAGGCAGCCTGCCCAGCCAGGTTACCAACTGAATGACCCTGAAGCGACATTTGTCAGTCAGTACCTGTCCAGCCGTGGGATCGACATCTCTGCCTCCTACCAGGCCAGCTTCCGGGACTACAAGATGTACCAAGGAGATAAATACCATGAGGACGAGAATACCTTGGTGAGGATGCGGGGCGGGGGGTGGTGAGGGTGGCGGGGCGGGGGAGACATCTCTTCAAGGGCCCTGATCACCAGGATTTATAGAGTCCTGGGTTTTTTCTCTCTCTCTCTCTCTCTCACTCTCCCTAGCTCCACAAAGTAGACGCTATTATCATCTTAGAGATTAGGTAATGGGCGCAGAAGCAAGGTGACAGTGCCCAGAAAGATATGAGCCCTGCCTGGGTCCTCCCCGCCTCTCCTCTGCAAGCATTCCCTCAGTCCCTGCTCTTGGCCACTAGGGGTCACTGTGGTCACTGTGGTCACCGTGATCAGCAAACCCGCCCTCACCAAAGGGAGTCAAGCGCTGAATGTAGTCTGCCTCTGGGGAAAGGAACATTAATAATAACCTGAGAGAAGTAAAGGGAGGCCCGCTTGGGTGGTCTGAGGTGTATTAAAAGCCAAATCAGCCAGTCATGTGATGGAGGTGACCGGGGTGTGGGGGCGGTCTTTCAAGTAAGAGGAACCACAGGTGTGGAAGTTTTACGGTGGGAAAGGCTTGGAGATAGGGAAATGAGGCTCCTGGGCTAGATTAGGGTACATGAGTGATGTGATGAGAGCTGTGAGGTGTTAGGATGGGGAGGTTAGGCTAGAGAGCCAATGAGAGGCTCCCAGCCGGAGAGGTTCACAGCAGCTTTCTAGCCAGACGATGGAGGACAGCCCTAGTCCTACTTCTTTTCTGTTTCTAGCTAAGTGATATGTGGTCAATGACCATTTGCTTTCTCTGGGGACCAGCTGAGTCCAGCATCTCCACTGGACTCTGAAGAACCCTATCTCCTCCAGCAACACGGAAGTGGAAGTAGCAGAGATGGGCATGAGACAGGCCCTAGGGTCAGGCAGATGGAGTTCTGTCCACCACCAAAGTCCTGTGGCTAGTGGGGTAGTCTACTGTTCTGAGCCTCACTCTCTTTAAAGCGAGGGCCATAATAGAACCTTTTCCTCGGGAGTTGTGAGAAGTAAGGGCACTGCATAAGGCACCTGGTCTAGGGTCTGGCACATAGTAGGAACTCAGAGACTGATCTCTGGTGTAGAAGCACTGTGTGGCTGTAAAGGGGGAAATTGCAAGCTGTACGATTTCTGAGTCTGTGACAAGTTTTCTGACACTTGAGGTTGTTAGACATGGAGTGAACTGCCTCATGGGGCAGTGAGATTTCCATTTGAAATAATCTAAGCTGAGCGCTTACTAGAATGTTCTAGGGGGTCCCTATAGGGCAGGGCAAGTGGACTGATCAATCCCTTCCATCTCCAGGGCTTCATTAACCTTGGCCTCAGTGAGAATAAGCTCTGCCTTGATCTGATGACTGAAAGGGTAAGCCAAGTCTTGGGCGGTGCTGGGACCCACTCTTGGGTCTAGTCCCCTCTAGAATCTTTCTTAGCATGCGGTAGATATATGAATGGGACTTAAGAGTTTAAGGAAGGGAGTGGGGGAAAATGCTTATAGAATAACACATCTGACCTCCTGGCTTACTGTGTTTAGGGGTGTGCTCTGGCTGGGTCTATGGTGGGTAGGCTGCCAAGGGAGCTCTGACCCAAGTGTAGGGCTGGGGAGGTCATTCAGCAACAGTCCTCAGTGAATTCTCTTTGTGTAACCTATGACAAGAGGATTGGGGCCTCCATTCATGAAGGGGCATGTGACATGGTGCCCTCTTCTCTTCTGTAAGGCCCCAGGTTGTAGGGCGACTACCCATACGCATCCTAGTGGTAGGATGAGGCCTGTTGGTCTTCCCTGATCTGGCTGTCCTCGTGCTCTATTTGTCAACAGTTGAGTCAGAGTGATATGAATGTCGTCGAGGATGTCCTGCTGCAGTATCCTGATTGGTCCGGGCAGCCATTGTAAGTAACTTCCAGATCTAAAGTCTTGTGGCCCCCAGACACCTGTTCTCAGGGAGGCAAGGACCCAGGGCGCCAGATTCTTGGTTGGCTACCTCCCTATTTCTTTGGGTAACAACTTCTAGAAAATATCTAGAGTGAAACCTCCTCAGGAGGGAGCCTGGTGTAATAGAAATAGCACTTCCCTATAATTCAAAAGGCCTGAGTTCTCGTCCAAACTCTCACACCTATTGTCTACATTGCCTGGAGAGTTGATAGCATCAGTCGGTAGCCCTGTGACAGGAGGTTGGATGATCTGCTTTTTGGAAAAGGCTGTAGGCTAGACGTTGACTAAGGCAAGGCCCCCGGGCCTGGGTACCACCAAGTCTGTCTGGGTCTACCCACAGCCTGCGGGAGGAGGTGGCCCGGTTCCTGACCTGCTATTGCAAGGTACCTGCTCAGCTCGATCCGGAAAATGTGAGTCCGTTTCCCAGCCTCACTGCCACCCTGGTAAAGGGTATATTCTTGGGGGACTCTCTGCATTTTCTAGAACCAGCAGAGACCCTCAGGGCCAGGGCAGAGCCAAGGCCAGTGGGTCCTGGAGGAGACCCACTGGAGGAAGAGGAGGTTCCTGTTTCATGTCCCTCCTAAGGGGAGGGAGACGAAGGGGTCAGACCTTCTTACATGGGGTTTGGCTTTTGACTTCCGCCTTCTGTGCATCTTCAGGTAGTTGTTCTAAATGGCTGCTCCTCTGTATTCTCCACACTGGCCATGGTTCTGTGTGATGCAGGAGGTAAGTCAATGGACTCTGCTTTCCCTCAGGAAATAGCACTCATGGGCATTGGACCTTAAGGAAAGAAGGATATCTTGACTCAAAGGCCTTTCCCCGAATGTGCTGGAACTTCTTGCCCGATTCGAACACCTTCCTACTATTTCCATAGGAGGGATGGATTTGGGTCCCCATTTAATATGGAAGGAAAATATGGGACAGTCCTCAAGGAGGTGTGCCTCAGAAAGAGTGAGAATTGGAGCCAACTCCATATATTACTGGCTGGGCTTCTGGACTCAACTCCAGTACGGAGAGCCCTGGTAAACTAGCCTAGGCCAGTTAGATTTCCTAACTCCTATCTCCCTTGCCAAAAAAAAAAAAAAAAAAAAAAAAAAGGAGGGGGCGAATTCATTTTAGATCAAATAAGGCCAAGGGATGTGTTCCCAGTCTCCCTCCTCACAACACCTGAGCGAGAGTCTCTGATCTTAGCTCTGGCTCCGTAGAAGGAAGTTACCCTGATGGCCAGTTTCGCTCAAAGGAGTATGTCCTTGGTTAACTCCTCCATGAGGCCAAAGGAAGGGGAAGGAAAGAACCCAGGGGCTCATCAGGGGCAGGTAGCCGGAGCCATGCAGAGAGATGAGCGTCCTTTCTGGGCATGGACCTCAGCCTCTCATGTTCGGACAGGAGCTGGGAAGACTTGCTGGATGACTAGGGCTCCACCCGCTAACAAGCTGGTTTGGGTTTTTAACTGGATTCCAAGCCATTCCTGGCAACATTCTTCCCCTTCTCCTTCCCCAGTGTTCCCTGAATAATGTTTATAAGAATGTAACGTTTATAGAGCCAGAGGCCAAAAATTAACTCCCATGTTAATCTCACTCTCAGGTGACATTGCCAAACTAACCTCTGTCTGTAGTGTTGCTAGTGGTCTGGGGAGGGGGGTGGCTGGCAGTTTCCCACCAAGAGCCCCCGGACTGACAGCATTGTCTCCCTGTGCTTCCAGAGGCCTTTCTGACCCCCACCCCCTTCTATGGTGGCTTCGTCTTTAGTTCCAGCCTGTATTCGAAAGTTGAGCTGATTGCCGTCCACCTGGACAGCGAGGTCAGAATGGGGCCCTTTCCCCTGCTCAGCTCCTCCCCTATAAGTGATGGTGGGGGGAGAATGGAGAAATTAGGGCAAAGAGGGCATGAGGGATGGCAGCCCTGACAATGAGGGATTGTGCGGTGTGTAGAGGAGCGAGGGACCGGTGCTTAGAAGCATTCAGGTAGGCAGTGCTCAGGCAGTGTCTGTCTTCCAGAGCACGGATGCAAACCCCTGTCCGTTCCAGCTCACCGTGGACAAGTTAGAGCGAGCTCTGCTCGAGGCAACCCTTGCAGTAAGGAGGGACCCATGTCTTCGGGGTGGGTGCTGCTGCCCCCGAGAGGGGCTGAGTATTGAGACCCAGGACCACATTCTCACCGAGGTGTTGTAGGCTCCTTCTTCGGAGGAGGGGGTATCCCGGGGGCATGTCCCCCTAGGAGCCCTGAGCCCTGTCTCTGGGGGCCGTCCCCAGAGCTCCTCCTTGCTCACCCCTGTGTGGGCAGTAAGAGAGCTGCGTGCTGCAGATCCTAAGCTGCTGAGATCCCAACTAGACGCCTAGGGGAGGTGCCCCAAACTAGGTATCCTGACTTGACCTTCAGCTGAACCTGAGGTAGATGTGAAGGACCTGTTGTGTTCACCTCAGTGATGTTTTTGGGGGTTTTGCTTATTTGGGGGTCTTGGGGTTTTGTTGTTTTTTTTTGTTTTTGTTTTTGTTTTTTTCAGGGGAAAAAGGTCAGAGGCCTCATACTAATCAACCCTCAGAATCCCCTCGGAGATGTCTACTCCCGAGACTTACTGGAAGAATGCCTGGAATTTGCCAAGAGGTGGGGTTCCAGTCCTTGGGACTAGACGAAGTCCCTGAACAGGGTTCCTATCACTCGGGGCCGGGAAGCTGGAACCAGATGTAATTTATCCCGATATTCTTACTGCGTGATACACTTTGCAAAGCAAAGTACAACTCACTGAAATTGAAGTGAAAGAAAATGCACCCACATGCTTCAACCAAACATGTTTTGCCTTGCTCCCCCGCCCCCCTGCCCGGTACAGACACCCACATAACAATTATGATCTGGTTTTGTTGCTTTTCCTCTTTTTGTCATGTAACCACTTTCTCCCAGCATCCGTTTCCCATCTACTTGGCCTGAAGCACCAAGGAAGCCAGACTCTCAGACCTTGTGGGGTGAAGACGTGTCCCCAGAGAACCCTCGTGTCCCATTTTCACAAACACGTTAACATCGGTTATCTCTGGAGTCCTGAAATAGCCCTATTTGTTAGGGGTGCTAATCTCCCATTTTCTAGAAGAATCACACTTACGCAAATGTCCAGATAACTCTAGTCTAGACCAATTCATGCCAGAGCATGAGGACAAGAGGAAGAAACTGGAAGTGTGTGGGCTGGAATTTGACAGAACTAGGTTCAGATCCAAGCTCGAGCACCTGCTAATTGAGGAACTCACTTTGTCACAGAAATGGTTTCTTTATCCGTGCAATGGAGATACCGGCTCTGCCTGGGAGGGTTGTTGGGAGAAGAAGCAGGGTGATTTGTACTAGCATTTAGCCCGCTGAAGGCCACTGTCCAATCGGCCCCCAGGTGAGAGCTCCTGACTATACTAGATGTAAAACTCTTGGGGACACTCTTGCAGTCCTCCCCATTGCATTGGTCTCTGCTTGACGGCTGAAGGATTAGATGTTCTCTTGACTGTTTTTGGGTCCTCTTCCTTCTTACCTCTGAGCCAGGTCTGAAGACACCCCCCTTCTGGTGTACCCCCCTTATATGTTACTGTGTCCCTTGGAAGGGTTGGATGGGCTGTGGGAGCAGCATCCGAACTATCTCCAGAGAAGCCCATGAAAGAAAGGGAATGGAGATGGGAGAGAACCTAGATAATGTTCTCCCTCTTTGGCCCAACCTGCAGGTACAACCTCCATGTGATTATAGATGAGATTTACATGCTGTCTGTGTTTGACGAATCCATCACATTCCACAGCGTTCTGAGCATGGAAAGGTGAGTTTGTTGGCCTCCTCTGGAGTAGGGAATGCGAGCCATGAAGTTCCTGCTTTTGCAGGGTGCGTTCATGGGCCATATTCTTGATTGGCTGTGTGCTAGGAACTGGGGCTAAGTGCCACTGGGAGTGTGGAAATGACCAAAGCATCCTCTTTCCTCCCAAGTGTCTTTTTGCAATGCTGCTTTGAACATGAGATAACTTGAAGGCAAGGTAGAAAGCACACTGTCAAACGTCTACATAAAACCCCACAGAAGGTCAGGGTAGGAATTTCTTGATAAGTAGTGCATAGGGAAAGAAGAGAAATAGGACACTTTCTTAAGGGTAGCATGTGGCCCTAAGATAGGATCCCAACAGCTAACGCAAGACCAAGGCCATGCCTGGCAGAAGGAACAGTTTTACCCAAAGTGGGGCAGTTAGAAATAGGTGAGCACATTTTAAAAATGGTGGGTAGCCCACGTGTGTGAAGAGCTCATTGCCAGGAAGGTGGCTTTGGACCAGCAGCAGGAAGGCCATGAGTCAGGCCAAGGGGCCCAGACTTCATTCAGTGGGCACTCGGGAGCTGTCCCATCTAGTTCCCCAAGGATACCTTTTGCTGACTCCCTGGCTGTTAACTGGGGCAACTGTTTCTTGAACTTTGGGCCCCAGAGGCTCTTATTTCTAGGCAGGACCTCAAGTCCATTTTCCTCTCTTGCCCTCATTGACCCCAAGTCTTCATCCTTTCAGTAGTTCTTCATAACCTTGATTGTACCATCTCCTCTCCAGTTTGCCTGACCCCAACAGGACCCATGTGATCTGGGGCACCAGTAAGGTGAGCCCCAGCTTCCTGTCTTTGGGTAGAAAAGGAAAGGGGGCCAAGAGGCGGGCAAACCAGGTACTCCTTCCCCTACCTCTTTTCCTCTAGGATTTCAGCATCTCTGGCTTCCGCTTTGGTGTTCTTTACACGCACAACAAGGAGGTGGCCTCTGCCGTGAGCTCTTTTGGCTATCTCCACGGTATCTCTGGCATTGCCCAGTACAAGCTGTGCCGGCTGCTTCAGGACCGAGGTAATGAGTCCCATCCTGGGCTGGGATCGTGGCTAGGCATCATGGCCATGGGGGAGTTCCTGGGTCTGCTTGGGCCCCTGACATACCTCTAGTCCACCAAGAACCTGTTCACAGTCTTGGGTTTAATGGTGGCAGGACAGGAAGTTTGAAGGCGGGCAGGATGCAGCCAGGCTTGTGCACTAGGGCAGAGGGGGAAAGCGGAGCTGCTGGTCTAAAACACAGATGAGATGGGCTTTCGTGTTTGGCTGCCTGGGAGCTTGAGCTCTGCCTGGAAAGGGCAGAGGCAAATTGTTCTCTAAGGCTTGAAAGACAGAAACCCAATGCAAAGGTGAATTTTCCCTCCCCAATACCCTGCTTGCTTCAGGCAAAGATGACCCCAAAACGCCACGATTCCTCGAAGACCTCATCTTCCAAGGTGGCCAAAGGAGAGCTACCATTTGGGCAAGCTGGTGTGGCTAGACCTATGGCACCTGTATTCAATTTCCTCTATGGATCACAAGTGAATCCTGGCTTCAGAGGAAACCTCCCCCTCCCACCTCATCTGTTTAATGCCATTACCCAAACGTAGATAAGGCCCCCTTTCTTTAATTCCCTATAACAGAGCAGAGGCCAGGCTGGAGGGTTTAAATTAAAAGCTGGGATATAATGATACAAATTAATGTAATTTGATAATCTGGTTTAGAAACAATTTGCTTTCAGCTTTGGCAGGGGGAAAAGGGTGGCTAGGAGAAGTCCAACCAGATGGCCCCATGCGTGGTGCCAGGCCCTTTGATATGTGGCAGAAACCAGGTTCCTGGCCCCTTGGACACGAGTTCTCCACCTTGGGCACATGGGACTTATCTGGGGAGCTTAAATGCTGATACGTGGGCTCTATCCCCAAAGATTCCGGTTTTGATCTGCAGGTATAAGCTGGGCACTGGGACTTTTAAAAGCTCCCCAAGAGGTTCTAATGTGCCGCCAGTGCTAAGAATAACTGGGTAAAGAACCCCCCACCCCCAGCCTATCTAGGTTTCTCCAAGTCCACTGTATGAGGCTCCGAGTATCTCCCCAGTTGGCAATAGCAGCATCTGTCCCACTACTGGGGGACTCTGACTCTGTGTCAGGGGTGTAAAGCCAAGTGGAACATTCCTACTGACCTACTGAGAAGGTGTGCTGGGTATGGCTATCCTCAGCCCGGAAAGAACCTGGAGTCTGGCTTGGATAGAAATCCCAAGGAGGGAGCCATCTGATAAGGCTCCTGCTGGCAGATGTCTGCCACCAGAGCCCTGACAGCTCTCTTCCCCGGCCCGTCCAGAATGGATTGACACAGTGTACCTGCCCACTTACCGCTCCAGGCTGCAGAAAGCTCAAAGATACATTACTAAGAAGCTGAAGGCATGGGGGATCCCTTTTCTCAACCGTGGCTCTGGCCTCTACATCTGGATCAACTTGCAAGTGGTGAGCTGTGGGAACGAGGCCCTGGTATTCTGGGGCGGAGCTGCCTAATGCGTCTTCAGCTCAGATCCGTCCTTCCGCCTTCCCTAGTACCTGGATCCGTGCACCTTTGAGGAAGAGCTGCTGCTGCATCACCGCTTTCTGGACAACAAGCTTATGTTGTCCCGCGGCAAGACCTACACGTGTAAGGAGCCGGGCTGGTTCCGCCTTGTCTTTGCAGATAAGCCCCTCCGGCTAAAACTAGGTGAGTGTCCCGACCTCAAGATCGTGGCGTCCTTCAAAGATGCCCCATCAACTCCTCTATTGCCCAATTCCTGGATTTTCCCTCTTTTGGGGCCTTTAGCAGCCTGTAGCGCCAGCCTAGCTGTGGCATCTACTTTCGTGTCTTTGAGCTCCTTTGCAAACAGGAACCAACAGGCACTTGAACACCGCACCCTTTGGGTGTCTGTCCTGCGCCTGCCCGGAGTGAGGCATTGGGACTACCCACAAAGAAGTGGTACGCTGCCCTTGTGGGACTAGTGGTGTATGGCCGGGGAGATAGACCAGTAGAGGACCATGGGGGTCCCTGGATGTTCTCCTGTGGAGTTCAGGTTTTCCTCTGAAGGTTATGGAGACTCCGACCTTCATTTTTCCAATTTTCTGTTGCATCTTGCCACGTGCTGGGGAACAGAACCGTTAACGAGAGAACATTTATGTCACCGAAATACCTTTCGGAGAATGGACTGAGCAAAGAGAAGCAGATAGAAAACCCGATGAGGTCAAGGGCATGAGCCAGGTTCCTGGATCTGATGTGAGAGCTGAAGGTGTCCGGCAGGCAGATGCTGGGGTAGTGCAGCTTAATGAGAGTGGCTGGAGCCGGAAATCCATCCCCAAGAACTTCAGCATCCCTGAGCGAGGCACTCTGTGGTGGTCTGCCAGGATCTGGGGATATCTGGGGCCCACCTGCAAACCCACTAAATTTTCGTGTCTCTGTCCCCATTTGGACCCTCCAGCCATGCACCGGTTCTACCAGGTGCTGGAGGAGCAGAAGCAGCGTCTGAGAGTGAAGCAGCTGGAGAGCACACAGAGAGAGTAAGCGGTCGGCCTCCTGCCCAGAGGCTGCAGCCAGGCACCTGCTCAGGGACCCCCTGACGGCGGCCACTGGGCCAGAAGCAGGGGTTTGGGCCCAGTGCTGTGACGAGCCACCCACGGGCTCCTCCAGGAACGGGCTCCTCTGACCCCATCATCAACCTTCTCCAGCCGAGCATCTGTCGCTTTGGAATCTTTGCATCTTTTTCGTCTTTGCTAGTCGTCACGGGTGTATGTGAAATGTTTTTATGGGGGTTTGGGTGGGGGCTTGCTGGGTCCTGATTTTGGTGGTTTTATTTTTGTAGGCTGCATCTAATAAATTTCATGTTCTCTCAAATTCTAGGCTTGTTTTCTTTCTTTACATTCATTTGTGTCAACTCTGGGAGATTTTTTTGGGGGGGGGGTCTCTTTTAAATTCTAAGGCAAGTTGCATGTGAGTAATACTGTCCAAGGAAGGTGAGAAAGGAAGGAAAAAGGAGATCCCTAATTGGCAAAGCGCGTTCTAGATGTCAGGATCCTATGGGACGTTGCATCCCACAAGATCACACCATGCTCAGGTGTGGCTGCAGTGTAGGGTAAAGGTGCCCCTCAAAAGGCTTTTAAAATGAATCTCTAGGGCTGAGTCTGGGGTCTTCCATTTTCCATTTTCATCTCTAGTGTTTTCAGCTATTCAGATCAGACCACCTGGGAGCTTGTCTATAGAGCTCTGGCATATCTGCGTTTCAGTCAGAGGACTCGTGCTATGCCCCGGGCCCAGCACAGTCTACTGTGTTTTACAGATGACAAAAGAGTTTTTTAGCACTAACCTAACTAAGCAGGGAATCTCCTTTCATTTATTTAGGTCTTTAATTTCACTCGGCAAGGTCTTTGTGGATTTCAGAGCACACATTTCATCCTACACACATCCTGTTATCTCTATATGATGCTTTTCATGTTCTGCTAAAGGTATTGCTAACTTCATTTTCTAATTGTTTGCTGCTAGTATGAAACAACTGATTTTTGTATCTTGTATCTATCAAGAGCTTTGAAGGCTCTGAGATTTTACCCTATTTACAAACAGCTTTCGAGGGTGCTGGCAAAGACATGAGAATTCTGGGTCAGAGATAAAGGACAGCTTCTTACTCACAGTGGAATCAGAGAATCAGCTTCTGGTTCCCCAAGCCCTGCTTCCTAGAAGGCAACGTGAGGAGGACCCACTGATGCCCGCACATGAAGTGGGGTGTCCTGCAGAAGAGGAAACCCAAGCTTAAATAACAGGATTCTTGGCCGATGAGCAGTAAGCCTGCCTGAACTTTGGCCCCAAAGGAGACATTTTTATCATACTGAGTAATAAACCTACCCTTTGCTCTAGAGGGAGACATTATCCAATGCTGTTCACTCTACACGTGTGTGTGTGTGTGTGTGTGTGTGTGTGTATGTGTATGTGTGTACCTCCTTGAAGAGAGCCTATAACAAAGACAGTCAGTGACCCTCCTTGTAAGACAGACAGAAACATGAGAGAGCTAGGAAGAATCCTCTCCTGACAGTATCTTGTGACCTTGCTAAACTCATTATTAGCCTTAGTAGCATGGCAGGGGGAGAGGGAGATTTCTTTAAATTTTTAATGTATATGATCATGTTGATTATAAATAAAGATGATTTTCCTTCTTCCTTTTTAATATTTCTAATATTTCTTTTTATGTAAGATTTTACTCATTTATTAGAGAAGGAGAGCACAAGTTGGTTACAGGGCAGAGGGAGAAGCAGACTCCCTACCGAGCAGGGAGCCTGACATGGGGCTCCATCCCGAGACCCTGGGATCATGACCCGAGCTGAAGGCAGATGCTCAGCCGACTGAGCCACCCAGGCGCCCCAATAATTTTTCTGTTCTAATTGCTTTGCCTAGAACCTCCAGTACAATGTCAAATAAAGATAGTAAGGGAGGACATTCTTGTTCTCAATCTTAGCAGAACTGAGGCCACTCTTGATCTTTTTTTCTTCCTAAGAAGAAGCAGGGAGCCAGAGGGAGAGGGGAACAGAGAATCTCAAGCAAGCTCTATGTCCAGCGAGTAGCTGATCTCACAACCCCGAGATCATGACCTGAGCGGAAATCAAGGTCAGATGCCTAACCGACTGAGCCACCCAGGCACCCGACTCTTAGTCTTAGTATTTTTCATACTGCCCTTTCCCAGATAAGAGTTCCTTCAATTCCTAGTTTGCTGAGTTTTTTTCCATGAATGAGGGTTCTGTTTTTGTCATGTTCTTATCTATACCTCTAGAGAAGATAAAATTCCTTTAAGTATTAATGTGGTAGATTACACTGAACTTCTTAAATATTAAGGGAGGGTCCTATTCCTGCAATAAGGTGCATATAGTCACGACACATTCTCTTTGTGTATATTGTTGATTTGGTTTTATATTAAGAATTTTACATCTATTTTCTTGAGTATTGTGCTATAACTTTCTTTTTAGTAACACATGGTTGGTTTTGGTATCAGAGTAATAATGACCTCATAAATATGTTGGCAATCTTCGTTCCTCCATTTTCTGAAAGTTTGTGTCAAGTTAATTTTTAAAAAATATTTTAAATGGTTGGTAAAATTCACTTATAAAGCCATCTGTACTGGAATTTTCTTTATGGAGAGGTTTTTTACTCATGAACTTAATTTCTGTAGATACTGGGTGATTCACATTTCCTGTTTCTTGTGGTCAGTTTTGGCAACTTGTGCCTTTCAAGAAAATGTGTCCATTTAAGTTCAATTCCCGAGAATGTTAATGTTCCAGACTGACCCTGACCTTCCCCCATCAAAGGTGCCCTTGTTTCCAACAATCCACCCTCTCACTAGCTAACTAGGACTTACCCTTCGGAGCTCTGCCATCATTTCCTGAGTTTCTAACAATTGTGTGTAGGACTTCCCATGTGGGGCCAACACATGTGTTGGGTTGAGGGTAGATCTCCCAGCTGCTTGCTTCCATGGCACCGGTAATCTCTTTCTTAATAGTCCTTCCATTTGTACGTCTGCCTTCCCAATCAACCACTGGCCCACTGTTTTGCTTATCAGGATATCCCAGCACTTTGCAGAGATCTGGCACAAGACAGACATTTGATAAGTACTTACCAGAATTAAATAGAATATGACTTAAATGGAGAGAACGGACTTGTTTTACAGAACATCGCACAGGGGACCAACAAAGTCATGAGAGCTGCTTAAGGTCACAATGTTCCTGGCAAGGCCAGAGAGAAGACAAGCAGTGGGGTGGTTCCCAGCCATACTTGTCCTGAGGGATCCCGCTTATTTGTTCTACACAAGGCTCAGCACAGGCTGGGGCCTGGGTAGCCTAATTCACTGCCGATACTCCAGGACGTGTAGGGGTCGGTGGAAGATTTCGACAAAGGCCCCAAGGAGCGAAAGGAGGAGAATTTCAAATGCCACTGTAAAAACTTTCACAGGGGAAGGATGTTTTAAGGATGCCCTCGCTTTAACCCGGAAAGGCTTCTCCATGGGTGCAAGCAGGCATACGTTTGCCAAGTAACCTCCGAGACTCTAACTGCTTCCAAACTGGGAAACTGAGGCCCAGGAGGCAGAGGGAGGCGTCCTCAGGTGCCAGCAGAGGAGACCAGGAACCGTGGCCCGACTCTTCCCCGCGGTGGTCTTCTCGGCTTCTGCTGTGCGCGGGCCGGGGTCGGCACCGGGAAGGGTGGGGGCGGAGGCGTGGTGGGGGGTCCGGCCCCCCGAAGGGTCAGGGAACCCTGCAGCACCGCGGGTCACGCCTGGGTGTCCGGGAAGCCGGAGGGCGGGTCCGGGCGGCGGAAGCCACCCGGGCGCACGATTCAACAGCGCCGGTGCTGCCTCCCCCGCGCCGCCCGGGGCTGCGATCGCGCTTTGCCAGACAGCGGAGCGGGGCCTCCCTCGGCGCGGGCTCGAGGATCGCCCGCAGGCGTCGCCGCTTGCGTCTCGCAGTCCCCGGCCCGGCGCACACTTCCTTGTTCCCGAACCTCAGACGTGTTGTCTCGCGAGGCTCAGCCGCCCGCGGAAGCCTCGGCCCTCCCTCCGCGGAACTCCGAGGTCCCCGCCGCGCTGCGGCTGGAACCCGGGCCCTGCGCTCCAGCCCGGCGTCGCTCCCGCCGCTCTGCCCGGCCGCCGGCCCGCGCTGTCGGGGGTGGGGATCGAGGTGAGCGCTGGGAGAGCCCGCCACGTGGAGCGGGGGAGGGGTGCTTCGGGGAGCCGTGTTTACCCGCGGGGGCGCCCCGGGGGTCGGGGCCGCTGGCTGTCCCCCGGCACTGGGTGTGCGGGCTTGCCTCCGGACCAACCGGGAATTCAGCGAGGAGCGAGGATAACATATTTTACCGAACTTGAGCCACGAGCCGGCATTAGTTCTAGGTAACTCCTCCGTTCATAGCCTCCCTGCTGCCCTGCGGTTTTACACGCCTCCGCAGATGGCAAAGCCGGCTTGGAAAGCCGAGGAGCTCACAGCCTCGGGCAGGAGGAGACCACCCTCTCCCGGCACCTGTGCTTTGCCAGGCCCTGGAGCTCTGCAGCGTGCCTGCCCTTGGGAGACCCTCAGTCGTCCTCCCCTTGCCCCCCCCCCCTCGATCACCAAGTAATCTCGGGCCCTTTAGCCCTGTTGACAGCAATCACCGCAAGACCCCTGGGGCTCCGGGCTCTTTCTGCTTAAGTCAGAACATTTTTCCCTGGTGTTTTGAAATTGAGGTCAGCAAGAATGGAAAAAGAACGCTGGCGACTCCGCAGGCTGCAGAATGAAAAAGTCCCATAAATGTAAAACAAGGGAAAGCAGCTATATGTTACCCCATATAAAAGTAGCAAGCCCAGCCCCTGGCCCCGAAGAGCTCTTTAACAGGATTTACTTGCTGAAGCCGTTGGACTTAGGGTTACCACTAGTAAGGGACATAGGAAATGGTGAATATATAGACATAAGGAAAGGGGGAGCCAAGAATGGGAAGGACCGCTAGACGCCCAGTTCAGTTCTGCTGCGTGAAAGCCCTTCTTTTCTGAATGCTGAATTTGGGCCCTGAATACTTTTGTCCTTTTGCAGATGTTCACTCTGCCT